GGAAGGAAGGAAGGAAGGAAGGAAGGAAGGAAGGAAGGAAGGAAGGAAGGAAGGAAGGAAGGAAGGAAGGAAGGAAGGGAAAAGATTTTTGACCCAAATTCTTCCATGGAGTGGTCAAATATACAATGTAGCTATAATGGTGTTTGTTATTTTATAATTTGGATAGCATACTACCTGTCAAAACCCCCCAAAATATTTTTTGAATAAGTAACCCTCGGCATAGTGGGATTATACCCCGGTGGATTTAGACTGCAGTTTCATCCCTGCATGTGAAAATTATCTTTCATTTCAGCCCTTCCCTGTGTTATATTCACTAGACAGAGGTAGCAGCATGTCTGGAAGTGAGATAGCTATTCCTGCCTAGGCTTATCTTGTCCAAACGTGTACCTGTTCCAGAGGTTCCTTCTTCATCATTCCACAGAATACAAACCAGACACATTGCAAATATATTTAAATATATTAAATCCCTGGTTCATTCTGCTACTTATTTTGCTTGTTCATCTGCCTCTGGGTCCTTGATTTTCTCTTTCTATGCCCTGGAACTTAGGGCCATATCTCTTTAGTTTGATTTCCTAACCTTTGCACCATACAACCACATGCTCACCAAGATGTATATTGAATATACCTTGATGATTACAGCTTCCCTAAGGATACATGAGTCGCTGTTTGACATGTCACCATGTACCTCTCTCTATAAGCAAAATGAAGGAGGAAGGTTGAGAGAAGTCCCATGGCCTAGCATTTAGTATTCTTCAGAGAACTACTTTTCTAGAAATAAATGCTTCTAGGTATACTTCTCTTGGTGCTCTTTTTTGACCTCCACCTCACTCTAGCCCCAATGCTTTAGCCTAGATTTTTCTATATTAAGATTGAAGCCAAAGAGAATAGTTATGGTTTTCTCTGATTCTGCTGAAAAAATCTCAAGCACTTTGAGATTCTCTGGTTTTGTCTTAAGCATTTTATTTTCATATGTGTGAATAAGGAGTTATGTGGAAAGACTCGTCATGCTGCGAATACTAATATTATATTGGCGGGAAAGTTATAGATTGTGTTTGTCTTTGTATGTCTTTGTGCAATATTGTTCTAATTGTTTCCATAAGATTGTATTACTATTTTAATTTGCAAAAATCAAATAAGAACTTTTTAGAAGTCTTCTTAGTATTTTTGTAGTACCTCTAGTCTCTTTAGAGTGAACTAAAATATGTCTACATTGTCTCTCATTTTTACATTATAACATAAGAGGCAAACTTAATTATGTGGGGAAAATTTTCCCACCAATAAATCAACTTGCCACTCAAAATATTTGCAATCTATATGAGGCTTGCTCTGAAAAATAACTGAAGCTGTTACTTTTGGGGATTTAGCAACGGAGATTGTCAAATTTTCCCTGAATAGTATGGTGACAGTTACTGACAACAGAACTGCCAGAGCCTATTCTAAAGCCAGAAAGAATTCCCACCCCTTCCTTTCCACCCTAACTTAACTCATCTTTCACTGATTTATCCTCTCCACCTCTCCAACAAATTACATGCTGCATTCTTTCACTGCTAACTTCATGTGGCCCTGAGACTTGCAGTCAGGCATCTTTTTTGCTTCGGAAATAATATATACCATACCTTCCTATTGAGCAAGTAATTACTGACTTTTACCAGATCTCCACAAATCCCTTGGAGAGTTACCCTCAAATAAGCAAATTTCAGACACTTCTTCCTACCCGTGCTATACTCTAAAGCCTCCTTTTTCCTTAATAATATTATTTGTGAGGAGTAACAACCATGCTTGGGATATTTTGCAAAACATCCAATTAACCTCCAGTAGATAAAGCAGGTGGAAAAGCCCTGAACCATGAAGTCTACTGCAGCTCTATTACTTACTTTTTGTGCTACCTGGGATGTCTTTGGATGGCAGGGGGCTCTTTGAGTCTCAACACCTCCAGGAATGAAGCATGGATAGGCTGACTGACCTTCCTGTGGCACATGAGTGCTTTGTACATTAACTGATTTCAAATTTTGGTGTTAGCAGGAGTTCCCTGGGAGCACAGAATGAGCATTTTTCACTCTGGATTATCTCAACCTAATTAAACCACCCAGAAAAAAAAAATAACTCTTATATCACAATGACCACTGCCTACTAATATGCATACTTGGAACAAGGAACCAGGTGGCCAGATGAAGAAAAAAAAATTCACCTTTCCTTCTTCCTAGAGTCATGGATTCCAAAGCCAATATTAGTAATCTCTTAGGTTGATACTTAGGTTGTGATTGACTCTTGTGTTTTGCCCTGGCTCACTGCTCTAGGACCGGTTGACCTTGCTCTCATCAGTAAGACTGTTTCAGAAGAGCAGGTCTTGTGCTTGCACACCTAGATATGTCAACTCCTGCAGAGGCTCTGTTGTCATTTGGTGCTGCCTTTCTGCTCTGACTTTATTGCTCATATGTTTTAACCATATCATTAATAGTCATTTGCCTAGAACTTTGCAGATTCATCTATTATTTGACCACCAGAAAATATTTTAAGAATTTATTGTTAATTTCCATTTTCAAATAAGCAAACCAAGGCTCAAAGAGATCAAATTGTTTTCCTGAGGCCATGTTGTCAAAGGTATAAAAAGTGATTCCTTAAGCCTGGTGGTCTGATTCTAGGACCAGCTCTCTTTTTGCTGTATCATGGTGCTTCCACATATTTAATAATACATTTTAAATTTTTACCTCCCTTAATTATGAGAGTAGATATAACAAACAGTGGGATCATGGTGCTTTACTCTGTGTCTCTCCTCTTTTAATCTGTCTGGAGACATTTATTTTTAATTATCTACAATGAATGACTGCTTATTATATAATTTTATGGTCCAGGTCTAAAACCTATTACTGAATTGCCTTTGGTAATTATAGCATGTGGAAAAAACCTATCACATTTACTTACCTTGACCTACTTTAATGAAGTGATAACACTCGTTATTTGCAGCCATACATCCAAATGTTCCCTATCTCCATGCAAGTTTGTCTCAGCCAGAATAAATGCCCAGTTAATCAGAGGTGTTTAGTTTGCCTTGCTAATAATGCTGGTGCTTAATTCTCTGTAGTTATTATACAACTATCCTTCTTCCCATAATATCTTTAAAAATAATTGCATCTATATTTTAATTTTTGCATTTTTTGACTCAGGGAATAATATACCAAACATGTCATCTAGAAAATAAGACATTGACCTTGACAAGGAACATGAGATAGATGATAAATAACCACTCTTCCACCTCACCATTTGGTCCTCTTCCCAGCTATATCATGGATACCCCCACTGAGGAATCTCTGAGTGGTTCCACACAGCCCCTCCCATCACTGTTGGGCCATGAGTTTCCAAAACAGCCTGGGGATAAGTGCGTATCAAAATGAGCACTGGCAGGGCTTTCCACGGTGTAAAGAAGCAATAGACTATGATGGTGGTTCAGTTTTGTCCTAAGAAAACTGAATCTTTAGATTTTCCTTTCCTACCTGAAAATATGTAAAACATTATATAAATGCTAACAGAAGCACAAGACCTTGCCTCTGAAAAATCCTGAAAACAATATTAACACTAATGGACTCTCCACTATCAAGTAACTCCGGATTAACGCAGTCTCCCTTCCCTCCCAGTTCTTTGGTTCCCCAGTTTACACCAACCAGAACAAGCCAGGAGTTGGGGGCATATCCTATTTGTCAATGCAATATTCATGGTGCAGCCAAAAAAATTGCCCTGGACATAAATATCTAATCTGGTTCCAGCTCTATAATGAACTTCAGACCTCTGGCAAGATATATATCTTTCCTGTGTCTTATTTGCTGAATAAAAAAAAAAAAATGCTTACCCTAATTTTTTTGAAAGGCATTGGGAAGTTTAAGCCAACAGAGGTGAAAATAATCTACAAAGCACAAAACAATTTTTCTATGCAAATAGAAAATATTACTAAACAAAGTTCTTAGCCTAATGACTCTGATCATGTATGCTCTGTTGTATTATTGTTTCCCTTGTTAGCATAAGAAAATAGGAGTACAACATTATTGATTCATAATATTTTCTACTTCCATAGAAAAAAATTGTTTTGTACCTTTTAGATGATAGAATGTACAAAAGTTGTTTTGTACCTTTTAGATTATTCTCACCTCTGTTTGTCTTAGATAAACTTCTCAGTGCCTTTCAAATCAGAAAGTGGAATACATTAAAGCCACAGAGGATGTTCATGTCATCAGATATCGTTAATATCCCTTCTCCAACTGCATAGGATGAGGGTTGGGAACTCAGGTTCAAGGGTCATTCAGACCTTGGAGAAAATCTTGCCCCTGATGTGACCTTTGCCAATTTATTTTCTATTTCTGAGCTTCAATTTATTCATCTGAAAATGGGGTAATATATTCATCCGTCAATCTCACCTCACAGGATTGTTATAAGGATTAAATGAAGTAATGCCCATAAAAAGCACTTAACAGCAAACCTGACACATAGTGAGTACCTGGCCAATGTGGTAAATACTGTCTCTTAACATTTCTTCCTTACAATGTAAATAGACTCTCCTGGAAATAAAGAATTCCAGACTCAATTAAGTTTGGAAGATACTGCTTTAAATGCGTTCTTAGGTGAAGAACCATTAATATATTCACACATGTGACAACTCTTCAAAAAAGAGAGATGATATCTAACATCTGCCTAAAATGTTTGGAGATTAGAACACTTTATTTTTGTAGTAGCTTTGCAGGACTAGGTTTCTGGGGATCATGCTTTGGGAAATCTTGTTCTCACAAATCAGATATTCATAATATTTTCATGAAACCCCAGGATCTCATTTGTCTCAAAATAATGGGGAGAGATGGAAAGAGAAAGAAGTGGATGAGTGTCAATATGAACCACAATAGGATCACTGCTGAAGCTGGATGATGGGTACATGGGAGTTCATCATAGGATTCTTTCTGTTTTGTACATGTTCAAAAAATTCCATTAAAATTTTTTAAAAGATATTAAACAAACCAGAAAAAAAAAAAATATATATATATATATATCTGCATACATGCTGTGTCTTAATACATACACTAAACTCTAAGAGAAATGGCTAATCTCCCGAGGTCTACAGACCCACTCAAGCAAAAGTAAATTATCTGTTTCTTTCACTAACTTAGCAATGAAGCTCTTCTCACACTTCGGAGCCTAATGAGGTCACCTGTGGTGATGGCAGTCAAAGTAGAACCCAGCTGGGTCATCCAAAGACGAGTATCATCTCTACTCATAATCTCAACTTTCTTCCCTTCTTCCCCATAAAGGCTTTTACAGAAAAATAATAATAATAATGGAACAGAAATTATATTTTTAACTTAATTTTTTTCTCTCATATTCCTGCCACATGTGCTACTACAGTCAAAATCAACCGAAGGTTCTGACAGGAGGAAAAACAGAATCAGTTCCTGAATAACAGAGACTTGAACCACCAGACATTCACTGGACGTGGTACAACAGTAGTTTTGACTTGAAGACTCGGGTTCATCTGTCATTTTAACTGAAGCTGCCTTTTGGGAATGCCACGGTTTCTAGCTGCCGGGGAACCCAAAGGGACTTGCAATTGGCCTAGAACCCATTTCACTTGCCAAAGTACCTAATTTATTATATTAAGAAAATTCCCTCTCCTGATAACAACAAAATCACCAATCAACTGTCACTTTTTGGCTTTTTAGACAAAAATTCTCCCTAACTTCTCTCTTGTTCTAAATGTAATTATTTTAACCATACCTCATTACTTTTTACTATGCCCAATTAAAGGTACTTGCATATTTGCATCATGTCTTTCATAGTTTAAACTCACTTTGGCACATTAACAAAATCCTATTGTTGTTTATTTAACCTTTAGAAAGTTCACAGATAGCTAACCTAACCTGTCACCAAGATTTGTGTTTATGCATTAGGCATCTCCTGGCTGGACCATTTCACAGACTCCTGGCTGGCCCTTCTCATTCATTCATTATGTGTTCACAATTCACTCAAAATTTACAAGATGCTTAAGTTTGTTTCCATTCTCTAAAGTTCCCCTTTCCGCTCTCCCCTTGGCCTGACATAATGACTTTCTTTTTTATGTAAGAGTTACCTTTAAAATTAAGGTAGAGTCTTCTTACTTTGTTTCTGTTGTATAGTTTCCAACAAAGTAAAAAGAAAGAAGGTAAAAAGCTAATTTATGGAATTATGGGGATAATTTCTATCTCATTTTTACAAAAAAAAAATAATAGATTCAAATTGTCCTAGCTTAACCTCTTATTCTTCAAAGACTTTTAAGAGTTTAAGAGGAAGCATCCCAAGGAGCTTTAAGCAGGAAAAAAAAAAAAAAAAAAAAAAAAACAACAAGGAAATAATTCAATTTCAAGAACCGTACAGTTTCTGCCTACATGGAATTCACATCTGGGAACTTGCAGCTGGGCTGGGGCAGTAACCTACATATTAACTGTAGTAAGAATATTCGGGGCATAGAAAGCCCACACTATCCTCACTGAAACTGGGGCTGGCCTGGAAAAACTTGAGAGCGGCTCAGATGCTGTGGTAAAAGCATCAGGGACAAACTCTACTGATGATGCTTCTTATCAGTAAAAGACCCCCTGCACTGCTTTGCCAGTCATAAAAACAGATTTTCACCAATCCACACTCACCTCTGCCCAGTACATCATCTGCAATAGAACAAATCAAATTACAGATGTGGAGTGTAGCTGCTCCAGTTAGAGACACAGCCTGATCTCCTTGAATCAGGCTTTCCAGGCTAGCGTTCACAAGCCCCAGTTCAGAAGAAAGTGAGGTCCTTACTGACTAGACTGAGGTGTGCACTGCAGGATGCCGAAAGCGTGGGTTTCTAGCACTCTCTAGTTGTAACTCTGCCACTGTACTAGAGTGAGATAACTCAGCTAAGATACTTGGATACTCCTAGGGTGCATCATTGTTTTGATATTCCTTGTGAATTATTTTTTCCTGACAGGGTGAGTGGAGTGGAGGCGAGAAGTCAGAAAAATAACATTTGTAAGCTAATTTCTCTGCATGTGCCAGACGCTGTGTAAGCACTTCGGATGCACTCTTCACAACCAGAATATTTGTTATTCCCACTGTAGAGAAGAAAAAATTGAGTTTTAGGGTGAGGCACACAGCCAGTAAGTGGAGAAAGTCCAAAACTCAATTCAGAGCCTAAACATACCATACACACACCAAAAGAACAGGGATTGCAATGGACATTGTCACTGAGATGGCTTCTCCCAGAACACGCAGAGTCCTCTTTCCAGGTGCATCCTGCCCTGTTCCCTTCCTGGATGTTCTAATGGCTGCAATTCTAGTTCAGGGTCCTTTCTTACCTATAGAATCTCCAAAGTCTCCCAATACATGTCCTTGTCTTCTACTCCTAAGCATTGCCTAGAATGAAATGCAACCTTCAAAGACTAACCTGTAAGGCCTTGCAGGATCTTCTCCCTACTCACCTATACTGCCTAATTTTCCCCCATATACCCTTCTTTTTCATTTTTTAAGATTTTTTTTTTTTTTTTTTTTTTACCAGAGGAGAGCATGAACACAGTCCCACACTACCACAAATTCTGCAGTAGAGTTTCCCATATTTGGAGGTGTCTCAGGGGTCAGTACATCCGACTTGCAATGGATAAGCCTTGCCCTGGGAAAGCAATCTTAGGAATCGTGGTATCTCCTCTGACAGGTAGGTATCTTCTCCTTACATACCCTTCAATCCATCCAATATAAACTTTTGTCTGTCTTGCAGGTATGACTCTGCTAGGGCTTCCAGTTACGTCCCTCCGCCTCCTTCTGTGCCTGAAAACTTAATCTGTTCTTTAAGTTTTTGCCCAAATAGTGCTTCCTTGTTGAAGTCAAACTAACTCTCCAATCCCTGACTCTGCCTTTTCCATTTAAGTATAAGCTTCTTGAGGTTTAAATTTGTGTCTCAATCTACATCAATATGCAGTCACACACTGGGTCAAGGCCACATAACTAACCAGAGTCAGAATTCAGTTCTGATGACTGTCTTAGTTATGTTCCTTTCAACAAGTATGTGGCTTGGGGCTTTGCTGGGATCACAGCAGGATTTTATGCTATTTTCTTGTGTTATTCAGAGCAGCCAAGGCAAACCGTATCCTCCTCAAAGGTGTGTCCTTCGAAAACAGGAGAGGAAAGTCTTATCCCACTTTTGGATTATCTAGAACAGATTAGCTTGTGGAGCTGTGAAGACGGAAAATGTCGTTTGGAGGATTTGAACAACGTTTAAGTGTGGCAGGATAAAAACAATCAACCAAATAACATTTTTTTACAATATGAAAAAATACTCTAATGATGTTCATTCATGAACAAATTTTTATTAGCTCTCACGGCCAATCTGCCTACAGAACAGACTCTGTAATAGAACTATACTGCCCTTCTTGCCAGACTCCACAGCACTCTCATTTGGCAAGACAATTTCAAACACACCCTGTTACATACCAGCCTCTTCATCTCAAGAAATACAAATTCCAAACTACTACTCTGGACATGCCTTTGAATTTCTATGGAACTAACCTAGGCATCCATTTCCAAAGTGGCTGGCATGTTTCATTTCAGAGTAAAAACTGGGGAATTTATTGAGCAAGAATCTAAATTAATCTAGTAGAAAAGATAGGAAGAGTACAGTTTTGGGTGTGAGGAAAATATTCTCTATCTCATGTCAATAGCCTAAGTCATATTTTTTTCAATAAGGAAAGGCATTTCCTTTCTTCTTGCTAGCCACCATCCACATTCAATTAATAACAAACTCTCGTCCATGTTTATTTCCAAAGTACTTCCAAAATCTAATTACCCTCTCTCTGCAGCCCAGGTACCAGCATTCAGACACTTAACAGACCTTGTATGGATGTATTTTCCCCCGATTTCTTCTTAAAACTATCCTTCAATGTTTCTCAAATTGTGGAGTGTATAAGAGTCACCTGGAATAAGAATCACCTGCCTTTTTTTTTTTTTTTTTTTTTTTTGAGACAGAGTCTCACTGTCACCCAGGCTGGAGGGCAGTGGCGTGATCTCGGCTTGCTGCAACCTCTGCCTTCTAGGTTCAAGTGATTCTCCTGCCTCAGCCTCCCAAGTAGGTGGGACTACAGGTGCGTGCCACCACACCCAACTAATTTTTATATTTTTAGTAGAGACGGGGTTTTGCCATACTGACCAGGCTGCCCTTGAACTCCTGACCAAGGCAGGTGTGCCTTGAACACCTGCATTTCTTAAATGCAGATTTGTAGCCACTATTCCACAGACAGTCAGATGTATGAGGTGTGAGTGGGGCCCAATGATTTACATTTTAACCAGCATCCCATGCAACCCTAACATAGGTACTTCGAATGCTACATTTTGATGAGAACAAGGACAATATTGGCCTGAAACTATAGGATTTAAAATAAAAATCTTAAAACAATTTACATGTACTAAAATTGCTCACATATTTTTCCCACAGTCAACTGGAAACAGTGAAAATTATTGACCGTGATGATATCAGTGTTCAAAGACCTTAGTGAATTGACTCCTTTCTGTCTCTTACCCAACTTCTCAGAGCCTCCAGAATAATACTGTGCCAAGACATTCAGTGTGCTCTTCCTCACAAAGCTCTCTCTGGTTTTGAAGACCCTCCTAGAATTTTTTTCTGACCAACTTCCATCGGGGATTGCGTCTTTCAGCAATGTCCCTGGGTTCCATCCCCTCCCACACCCGTGTGGCTTAGGAGAGCCCTCCCTGTGCAGCTTCTGTCATAGCATTCCCCACAAGGTAGTGAGACCATCTACAGCTGACCCTTGAACAACACTGGTTTGAATTGCACAGGTTCGCTTATATATGTGGATTTTTAAAGAAACAAAAGTTAAACCAAGTGTGCCTGCCTCGCCTGCCTCCCCTTCCACTTCCTCTACCACTTCTGCCTCTGCCATACCTGATGCAGCAAGACCAACTCCTCCTCTACCTCCTCAGCCTACTCAATGTGAAGACAATATGGATAAAAGCTTTATGATGATTCACTTCCATTTAATGAACAATAAATATATTTTCTCTTTTCTATGATTTTCTTAATATTTTCTCTAGCTTATTCTATTGTAAGAATACAGTATATAGTACACATAACATAAAAAATATGTGTTAATCGACTGTTTCTGTTCTTGGTAAGGCCTCTGGTCAACAGTAGGCCATTAATAGTTAAGTTTTGGGAGAGTCCAGAGTTATAGGCAGGTTTTCAACTGCATGGCTGATCAGTGCCCCTAACCCCCACATTGTTCAAGAGTCAACTGTACTTTCTTCTTTGTTTTTCCACCACACCGTGATCTATTTTCATATAAGGAGCATGCCTTATTTTTTGCCTTGCATCCTATATAGGAAACACTCAATAAATAATGTCTATTGGAATTTATCCTCAGATGCTATCACACCCCCATACAACTGGTTCCCTTATTCCATAAACCAAGTCAGGATTTGGTGTGCTTGGTCTAGGACCTCCTGACTCCCTTAAGAGGAATACAAATCAGCTCTAATTTCTCATCTCAAGTGTAAATCAAGCAAGGAAATAGAATTATTGTAAGAGACCTAGAGTGGGAGTTTAAATCAAGCGAGATGAAAGAAGAAATCTAAATACAGAATAAATCGGTCAACCATATAGCAAAGTACTAAGAGTCACAGGCTTCAGAGGCAGACTGAGAAAGCTGGAATCCCAGCTCTTCCACTGACAGGCTGTGTAATTTTGAGCAGGCTGCATAAATTCTCTGTGCCTCAGTTTCCTGATGGGGACAAAGAATAACCCCTAGGGCTGTTAAAATAAGTAAAAAAGTAGAGCAGACTTCAGCAAAGTTTTCCCATAAAGGGCCAGAAAGTTCCTATTTTAGGTTTTGCAAAACTGACAGTCTCTCTCTCTCTCTCTCTCTCTCTCTCTCTCTCTCTCTCTCTCCTCGAAAGGAGAAGCAGCTATAGACAATATGTAAACAAGTGGGCATGGTTATGTTCCATTAAAACTTTATTTACAAAAACAGGCAGTGGGCCAGATTTGGCCACAGGGCTGTAGTATGCTGAATCTTACATAAAACCAATGCTTGGCATATGTTAAACTTAATATTGTAGCTTTTATTATTTTGCTTGAAGGAATTTGGTCCCCAGAAAATAACTCAAGTTTCCAACTTTAATCATGTTCTCACTATAATGAGAACACATTTTACCTATTTGTATTAATTGGAATCAATACAGAATGAGCTGACATCTAAGACTCACTACCTCAGAATATTTCCTCCCACTCCTCACTTATGTTTGCATTAGAAATAAAATCGGCAGGGTATTTTCTGGAATAATATCACATCCCCTATAATTTCAACCATTCTGAAGCACAGAACTTAAATTGAAAAACCTATAAGACACTATAATGGGAAACATGCCCACAACAGCAGCAGCCTGACTAATGCAAATGGTTTCGTTCATGTGAAAATCATTTATAGTGAATGATGAACTGTTAATTAATAATTGTATTAAATTAAATTAAATTCTGCTAACACTGAATGAAACCGAGGCACTAAACTACTGAATGTGGAATAAATTACTCCCTTTCTCCTCTCCAGTATCACATTTCTACTTATATTGTAATATATATATATATATTTCTAATTATACTGTAATATATACATATATAATATTCCTAATTTTCAGAATTACTTAGAGATTTCTGACCAGCAAGTCATGGCATTGATGTCACTACTCAGGAAATGTAGGGTGTCCTGGGGTGAGTACAACAGTCACATATTCTTGTTGTGATTCTTATTGTGCTGCTAAATTACAAGTACAGTTACTTAACCACTTCTGATATTTGCTCCAGGAGCTAAAAATAATTTAAAAAAAAAAAAAAAAAAAAATTTAAAGAAGCCACACCTGCCTCCTTTTTGTACCAACTTTTGCAAGCATATTTTTTTTGGGCAGGGTTTGTCTAGAAGAAGTTGTTGCTCTCCTCTGCCCACACAGTCCTCAGTTTATTAGATCTTCTAAATGCCTGTCTTCGTTTGCAGGGCTTGGACCAGCAGCAGCTGCTGCAACCCAGAATGAGACAGGAAATTCTCTTGCTTATTAA